CGGATACAGCTCCATTAAAAAACAAATTTGAAGTCAACCACGACATCACAACACAAGAAGCTAGCCTTGCCTTACGAAAAACCCTTGGTGAGTGCTAATGTACTGTACGTCTATCCATAAAACTGAACCTACACGAATGCCATCATCGATTCCTTAAGGCCACTGAAACCATTATCATAATAACACAACCCTCTAGTCAACTCACCATTGGAAGTCCCAATTCACCACTATAAGCGCTCTAGTTCGCACGCATGAGACAGAAACAGCAACAAGATGACTAATGAACCAAACCCAGTTAAGATCTAACCCTAACAAAAACCATCCCTTCAGTTCATAACACATACATCTTACAAACATACAAACATGCAAAAGGAGAAAGTACAATGCTACAGAAAGAGGAAAAGAAGCATCCCATATTAAAACAATCCGTACAAATCACAGATCTGAATCGGAATTCAGAGATGAAAACCACAAACAAAGAGATCTACTAGGGGTCAGTGAGAGAGCCAATTTCCGGGCCTGGACAACACAATGGAAGAGACATAAAGAGAGAGATTTGGAGGGTCTGGTTTTACCTTGTGATCTGCCTCGGAGGCGAACGCGGGGGATAGGAGAAGGAGAGCAAAGACGAGGAGTGGGGAGAGAGATCGGACGGTGGAGAACATGGCGATCGCCGGCGAGGGTGGGATCTGGAAGGTCAGTGAGAAGACGTGATGTTCTGTTCTGTTCTGATCTCTCTCTCGGAGGCAGAGGCAGAGGCAGAGGCTGAGGCTGAGGCTGAGGCCACTCAATTACTCAAAGTCTTCAGAAAGAGAGAGTTGCGACTTCGGAACGCATCTCCATTTTTTTTTATTTTTTTCTCTCACCAAATGGGGCGAATGGCAGATTGCTGCTTTTCTTTTAATGATTTAATTCATTTTAGCTTTTGGGTTGGGTTTTATCGTTGGGCTTACTGTTTCTTTCTGTTTTCTTTGGGGACTGGACATTTTGGGCTTATGTTATGAATCATTGGGAAGATATAACAAGACAAAAGGGGCAAATCAAACCAATTCTAATGTTTTGGTTCAGTTTTTACACTAAAAAAATGTAATTTTATAGTAAACCGAACTGACTACAGAGTGATTCAAAGATGATCTAACTACTCCTTAAATGGCGAACACGATGAGTCTTGGATGGCAACAAGAGAGTATGACAATGAAGCTTAGCAAGAAAGCTTGTGGTGGTGTGAGAGCTAAAAATCATTGTATGAAATATCGATATTTTTAACAAAATATTGCCGAAAATATTGTTTTTTGGGCCGAAATATTTTCAAAATAATCACGATAAATGTGTTTTCGAATTTTTCGCGATCTATGTATTATCATTTAATCTGAGGCTTTATTTGGTCAATATATTACGATATAAGCGAATCAAAAATTATCTAGTGTTATTTATCTTTAAAATATTTTCAAGTACTTAAGTTAAAAACATGTGATCTCGGATACAACACTCAATTTAACATCCTTAGTCTTTTATTTATTTTTATGGACTAATTACTTAATAAATATTAACTTATGTAATTTACAATGCAATATATAAAGTGTAAAATATTGTACGAAATCATTATATTTAGAGGAAGATTGGTTACTCTCACCATCAGCACTAAGGCAGACCCACAACCTCGAGCCGGAAGGACTTACACTTGGTACCTAACTGCCAATTGTTAGATGTCACCGCTATAGATTTATGTCGGTAATTACATATCGTGCACTAACGAGGACTGCTGGCAACAAAACTCGAACACTGGTGGGGCTACACACAGTGCATGAATCCGTAATTTTCAAAACTAACATGATTGGATCTGATGATGGATTTGCTCATGAGAATCCGATCAAATCCAATCCAATCTAATTTTTTTGATGCTTATTTTGCTCTAATAAGTATATGTAGTTGAAAATATTATGAATATTTTAAGACATTTAATGGAGTTTTGTTTAATCTATTATATAAGCAAAAAAAATTTCTCTAGTATTTCATTTATATTTTCCATTTACGTCTATTACTATGTTTGCTTATATTAAACCTAAGAACAAATGTTTAATATTTCATTACCATGATCAAAACCGATCATCCAATCCAATATGATCGGATTAGATTGGATTGAATTTAAACATCTAACATGGTTGGATCATATGCAAATTGACTAAATTGTATTGGTTTTGAACCAACATACACTCTTACCTATCACAAATGCATATAGTTTTTGCTATTTAGCTTTAGTGATGTAAAAAAATATTATCTCAATTGTTGCCCTCTCAAGCGTGATGCATATAATAACTTTTATGTCTGAAGCATGACGTTTTTTTCTTCTTCTCTGGAATATGGTATTTCTGATATATCTTGGATCTTTAATTTCAAGAAATGGATGCACGAGGTCAACTTGGTGTAGAGCGAGTCCTTGATATTTACGATAAACAATTTGCCTCTAGGATGGTCTCCAAGTTTAAATCATCTTGAGCCTAATACTATCCATTTTCCCAAGTATCTTTCTAGCTCTAACCTCATTTATACACTAAAGTAAAAGGGAGGAAATTATGAGACTTTCTTACCCTTAAAGCTCTCTTGAATGGTCTCCAAGTTTTCACCTTTATAAATGTCTTTTTCCTTGTTGCTTGTTCCTTATTGCTTGCTTCATAGATTCTTCACAAAGATACCAAAATAGGTACCATCTAGTTCATACACACCAAATGTAGTGTAGGTGAAGCAAATGACTAAGATGAGTTCAGGTGCTATCCCTCTCCTCTTAAGACCGATTTTAAAGTGTGGCTTATGTAGCATACACATAGGTGAGGAAATCTCCCCACCAATATGGTCGTCCAAGGGGTTTCTTGGGCTCATTTAACATGTGTTGTCATACAACACTTTTTATTAGACCCAATAGCTCCTTGACCTATTTTGCCCTTTGGTTCAAAATGCTTTTAAAAGTCCAAATTGACTTTAAAACCCAACTGTTTCCAACTGTCAAACTAAATTAATAATTGACAATTTAATTATGATTTGTGACTTAACCATTAAGTTCTGAGCATAGTCCGAATAATTTGACTTGGTAAACCATTTTGGTCAACTAAGTTGACTTTGCTGTTGACCATTAACTCTGACTGTTGACTTTCAACGTCTTATCTTCTTCATTTGTTTCTATAATTACATTTATCGTTGCGCAATCCGTAGATTCCTTTTAGTAAGGCGGTGGATTGTCTCAATTACTATGAATTGATTATGAATTAAATCTCATCATTTAATTTTTCATATTAGTTAGACACTTAACGAATTGGCGAACTAGAAAGGCATCAGATTGAGAGGTTTCTCCATAAGCTGAGTAAAAGTGAGTCAGATGCCCTTGGGGAGAACCATTTACGCCATCCCTTAGGGAAAGGAAATGCATTGCAACGATGTGTATGGCTTTCAGTATCCCAAACTAAGGTTTAGAAGTAAAAAATACACTTCCATGTAATTTATGTTGAAAAATTGTCATTGCGTATGGAAGAAAAAAGTACAAGGAAGCCAAGTAATAACTTCATTACAAACTATTATTACCAAGGGTTTAGGGCTTAGAAGGGCATAAGTGGCAATTATGTTATTAATATTTAAAATGTGGATCAGAATATCACCAATTTCTTTCTGTCTAGGCCGAAAAATCACAACTTGAATTGATCTAGGCAGAAAGAAATTGGTAATAAGGATTAGACCCCCAAACAAAATGATCATTAGAAGGTTGCAAGGGGAGATTGATACTTTGAATTGTTTGGGCTACATCAAAGTGTACTACTCTTACTAATTTATCAAAATTCCAAACACCATTGCAAATGTTGATTACAGTTTCATCCAAATCTTGATCCGTAAAGGGTGGTACCAATTGAGTAAGAGGAAATTGATAAACCAAATTAAAGCTTTAAAATTTAATGTTCATGTCATTCCAAACAATCCAACAAATACCCTTAAGTAAAATTGGATAGGTTTTAAGGCTCCGTTTGGTTCGCGGATAAGATTGTCTTTCCCACCCAAAAGATGGGAAATGGAAGATTCCTATCAATGCATATTATATTTCCATCCAAACAAATTTTTTTAATTTTTTTATGAACTTTAGTAAGGAGATATTTAGCATTAGACGGATAAGACCATTTAATTATATTTTTAATAGTATATTTATGTGGAATATCTAAAATATCAGAAAAAGAGTAGTTGAAAATTTACCCTCTGAATTGTTTGGTTAGCAATTGCCGTAACTTTACTAAACAGCAAACATAAGGTTAGAAATTCTTAGACCATGTGGGGAAGATAATAATCCAAGGTTTGAATAATAATGCATCATTAAATAACTAATGTGGCGAATAAGAGGCTTCATAGAGAGAATAAAATAAATTAATAAGGTGAAAGAGGATCACTTTGTAAAGTGATACTGGAATACGACCATGTGGTATAGTTTGTTAGGTACTCAGATAACTCGTATATAATAAGAAAGAAAAATTAACAGAATTTTTTGTTCGTTTTCCTTCCAATGGTTTTGTTTGGATGTGAACAAGCCTCCAAATCCAATAGAGAGATGAGGTGACAAGAAGTCCTCATCTATTCCCCGTATTTTGAAAGAGGCACTAATGCGGTGAGATAATTCCCCACAACACTCATGTACCATGTAGGCATTTTTTGTTTTTGGATCTGAGGCATGCATAGGCCTATTTTTTTGGGTCTTAGAGATGCATAAACTTCCCTTTCTAAGGGAAAAGAAAAATACAAATTTATAAATAAACTCAATTTTAGACATGTATTTATAAAAAAATCCAAGCACTATTTAAACATAAAAACACATCCAAAATCAACCCCAAAATTAATTTTTTGGGTGTGTTTATAAATGGGTTTTGAGTGTGTGTAATGATGGATTTTGGGTGTGTTTATATGTTTAAATAGTGTTTGAATTTTTTTATAATTTTAACCCCTATTTTGGGTGTTTTAGTGAAACTCCCAAAGAAAAAAGGAGAGAAAAGAAAAAGAAAAATAGCTACAATTAAGAAGATTCTCTGTCCTCTTATAAATTAAGAAAAACAGAAAAGAAAAAAGAAAGCACCACCAGTGTTTTGTTTTAAAAACTTTCTGATTCTTTGCTTTCCCTTGAAAACTCTTCATCTTGGATCCCTCACTTAGCTGAGTTCAAGCCCCAAATCAAATCTCTCTCTACAAATAGAAAAATATTTCTTTCAATCTTCACCACATGCAGCCCAACTCCTAATTAATTCTCAAATCAAATCCAGCAAGGGATCCCATAATCCCCTTCCTTTACAATCCTTCTCTCTCTCCCTCTCCCTTCCTCCCTTCCTCCCTCTTTAGAACTCTGATCTTGATTCTAGGCTTTTGGGTTTTTCCAATTCGATTTAATTGCTCTGTTTGTGTGTTCTCTGAGCTTGGAGATCCATGAATTGAAAGCTCAAATCTTTCAAGCTTCCGAGGGGTGTAGCTCAATCGGAGTTTTTATACAGGACATCAAGAGCAAAATTAGAAAATAAAATAAATAAAACGTAGAAAATGGAAAAGTACGAGCTTGTGAAGGATATTGGATCTGGGAATTTTGGGGTGGCGAGGCTGATGAGGAACAAAGAAACCAAAGAGCTCGTCGCCATGAAATACATCGACCGTGGTCTCAAGGTCCTTACCTTTCCTTCCATTTTATTTTCATTCTAATTTCATTCCTACATCCTTTTTCTTTTTTCATCTTTTCATTCATTTATGGATTTTTGCATGGATGGTGAATTTTTTTAAATAATAAACCTTATATAGGAAGACCCACCAGTTAAATTCTGGAGTTGGTACTTGGGAAAGCTAGAACCTTTCCATTTCATTGTATGAAATCATATTTTTATTGTTCTCACAGGGTTGTACGTATGTGTGTGTGTATATTATGATTAAATTTATATTTTATTGTTTGCTTGCAGATTGATGAGAATGTGGCAAGAGAAATCATAAACCACAGGTCGCTTCGCCATCCAAACATCATTCGGTTCAAGGAGGTGTGTTTTTGTTATTTTATGTTCTGCTTCATTGTGAAGGATGAGAAAAGAAAATTTAATCAGTTTCAGTGGCCTGATATGATGTTTTGAATTTCAGGTAGTTTTGACTCCTACACATCTCGCTATCGTGATGGAGTACGCTGCAGGTGGAGAACTTTTTGAGCGAATTTGCAATGCTGGACGGTTCAGTGAGGATGAGGTTTGATCACCGTTCTTGCGATGATTGTATACTGATAAGATGTTGGAAATTATGAAGACAATAATAGCTTATACTTTTAGTATACCGATCTTTATGATTTCAAAGTCCTACACTCTGAGTGAATTCCGATCTGGCTAATTGGTTAAGTTTCTAAGTAACGAAGTCAGCTTATGTTGTTGTTGATTTTGCAGGCTAGATATTTTTTCCAGCAGCTTATCTCGGGAGTTAGCTACTGTCATTCTCTGGTAAATAAAATGAGTTGTGAGTGTTCCTGATCTCCAGTTGATTGCTTCCTTTACCTGTGATTCTTATTTGTCCCTTGTCTGGTCCTGCAGCAAATATGCCACCGAGATTTGAAGCTGGAGAATACCTTGCTGGATGGCAGCCCGGCTCCACGCCTGAAAATTTGTGATTTCGGTTATTCTAAGGTTTAATTCTACAATGAACATACTGTCAGATGTTTCAAGGTAGATGTCAAAGTTCTATACTCTGATGAGCTTTATTTGTGTAGTCATCATTGCTGCATTCAAGGCCTAAATCGACTGTGGGTACTCCAGCATATATTGCTCCTGAGGTTCTTTCTCGAAGAGAGTATGATGGCAAGGTAGCTTAAGTAATTTTTGTACTGTTGTCGTTTTCACTTCTGTGATAATTGATGTACTACACTTTTAACGATTTTGTCCTAAGGGCCAGTTGATTAGAGTTCATTGCATTGCAATAAGTGGAAATTTCCAATTGCATCTTAATCTTTCTTTATGTTATTCCTTGCTGGGCCAAGGAGGTGGTTTAAGATGATGGTTTAGATAAGTTGAAACTTGGAAGAGTAAATTAGAAGTCTTGAGGTATTTGCATTTACCAGTCTTCAGTTTAAGAGATATCCAATATACCACCTTCAAACTTGTTCAAGGATTTATATAAGCAAAGCAGTTAATATTGATGCACTTTTTTCATGTCTGTACCATATTAATCCTCTTATTCTAAGTCTCTCGTGTACGTGCACTAATCTGTTTTACAACCATTGTCACACCATCAATTTCTCAATTTGAATCATACCTCTTCAAGACTTTATTCTTGTTGGCCTATGATCTCCACTGTGAATACTTAGGATGCCCCCTTGTGCTTATTCATCTTCCCTTTTTCTCTTCTGCAGGTCATATTTTTGTTTGTGGTCTAATTTTATCCACGAACCACATTAATTACTAGGTTGATAGAAAGAATCTATGATGTGCAATATTGATGCTGCCATTAGAAATTTAATTTACAATTTGCAACAATGTAACCTACCTGTATGAAATCATTCTTCTGATATTCTTAAATGTGAGTTCTTCATTTTGTACTCCCTTCTTTTTCTCTTAAAAATAGTATTAGTTTATTTTTTCTTTCTATGACCATTCTATATCTCATACAATCATTTATTGTGCTCAAGTATTTACTTCCATGATAGTAATGCTCACTTACGTGACACTTAGGAATTTAGGCAGTTAAACCGTTCTCCTGCCTGGGAAGAGCAGGAAATGAAATGATGTTTTAGACTCTTGTTAATTAAGTTTTTTGTGCCCAGAATTCAAATAGTAATTTACAGGATTTACTTCTAGCGTCTGATTTTGGTTTATGTTTATCCAGCTGGCAGATGTATGGTCATGTGGGGTGACCCTATATGTTATGCTGGTGGGAGCATATCCTTTTGAAGACCAAGAAGATCCGAAGAATTTCAGGAAAACCATTAATGTAATTTTACCTTGTATTCAACCTCTCTCAAAGTTGAATAATTCACCTTTTTCTTATTTTTAACCGTATTTCCTTTTCATTCTTATAATGCAGCGAATAATGGCCGTTCAGTACAAGATCCCTGACTATGTTCACATATCTCAAGATTGTAGGCATCTGCTCTCTCGCATCTTTGTTGCAAATCCAGCAAGGGTATATATTATACTATGTTTCTGCTTACGCAATAAATTTATCACTTAAACAAACAGAAAAACTTTAGGCTTCTGAACTTTGTAGAAGAACAGATTTGTGCTTAGACTGGGTGTATAATGGAAACTTTGAGGTTTTAAGTAGATTCTTTCGCAAAGAAAAAGTTTAAGTCTCATTTTCTTAGATTGCTTTGGCATAAATGTACATATTGCTTACAAACTTTGCCTTGCTAGGCTTTGGAATAATTACCTGCCTATAATGTTAACTTAGATAATTGATCTTTGGAAGGATTGGGGTGTGCATATAATGCATCGTATAATGTGCCAAGAAAGGCTCATCCTGGACTTGTCTCCTGTCTAGGTTTGCTTTCCTGAAGGTCCCCTTAAAATGAAGAGAAATGAATATAAAAGTAGGGAAATATCACTTCTGTGTAAGATGAAAGTCCATGGTGGAACGGGAGAGACCCTAAATAGGCCATGACTTCATTTTATGCTAGTGTTGGGCGTTAGTTAGCTCAGGTCTTATGAGTTTGAAGTTTGTTCTTATCAGTTAACATTTCCTTTTTCTGTTTAATGCTCTTTCATCGTGTCCTAAACTGGCTTCAATTCTTGTTTCAGAGGATCACCATTAAAGAAATCAAGAACCATCCATGGTTTTTGAAGAACTTGCCTAGAGAGCTTACGGAAGCAGCTCAAACCATCTACTACAGAAAAGAAAACCCAACCTTTTCCCTCCAAAGTATCGAAGACATCATGAAGATAGTGGAAGAAGCCAAAATTCCTCCTCCTGTTTCCCGATCGATTGGAGGCTTTGGGTGGGGAGAAGAAGATGGTGATACAAAGGAAGAGGTAGAAGGCGAGGAGGAGGAAGACGAGTATGAAAAGACAGTCAAAGAAATACATGCAAGTGGAGAAGTACGTGTTAGCTGAGGACCAATTTCTTCCTCAAAATCGGAGAACTGAAGAAGTTTGGTTTCTCAGTATCTGCGTAGTTGAGAATGTTGTCGTGCTTGTATAAACAGTCAGTTCTTTTCGTAGGCGATGGTGTTTCAATAAACAAACTTTTGTAAATTATAGTGTGGCGCTGAGGAGCATTAGTTTGTCTGGAGACTGTGACCTTGGATGTATCACTACTAGAATTTGTAGTTAAAGGTTGTGGAATTGAGTTGTTTGTCTTTGTTTTCCAGTTTAAGGGAGGGCGGGAGGTTTGGAGGGGAAAAGGAGGGGAAAAGGTGTAAAAGGTTTGTTTGTATTGTTTCATCAGAGAACAAGAGATTCTCTTTAAGGAGACTTTACCCCTAATGGGGTATGGTATGTATGGAGGTTTGTTCAGTTAGAACATAATAACATTTTGTTATATATTTGGGTTTACCCTATATCTTAATTACTACTTTGCTTCACTTTTTATGGTCTGTCTGGTAGTGCAATGCTTTTATTTTTCTTCTTCCTGCAGGTTTAATTCTTGATGGAATAAGCAATTCCAATTTGATTTAATTTAGTAGATGCTTCTGTTCTGTGAAGTCTATTGATATTTTTTTTTTTCACAAGCTGGGGAATGAAACATAGGAACTCGGGAAGTAAATGTCATTAACCACTTGAGCTATAAGTCTCTTGCTCTGACTTATTACTTGTTGGGTTGATCTAATATCATGCATAATTTTGCTTGGGATGAGTCAATGACATCTACTATTAATATTTGACTGAGAAACTTGTAATTTCATTGTTCCTTTCTTTCCGGTGACGTAACAAATCAGAGAGAGAAATTGAACGGCTGACATTTTTGTTGTCTTTGCCATAAGCTTTTTTTGTTTTTTGTTTTTTGTTTTAATGGAACAAAGAAAACTTGCAAAGAGGATGCCCTAGAGACTTCATTATCCGTATATCTTAACAAACTGCCATGCTAACATAACCAAGGATGTGAAAAATTATGTTCTATATTTGCTAAGAAATTCGACCCAAAAAAAATATATATATTTGCTAAGAAATCTGCAACTATGTTAGCTTCTCGAAAAATATGGTGTAAATCTAAATCATAATGCTCAAAGGTGAAGAAGAAGACACCGACATCCTTAACCTGTCTTTGTCATAGCTTTTCACGGCCCTCACGTGTCATGTTGTCTGCACCGTTGCTTCCCAGCAATCAACTGAGAGTGGACTTCTCTAGTCTTGGCTGATTGTGGCCCTCTTTATCCTTGAGACCTTAGTTCTATACATTTGTTTTTATACGAGCAATATTAAGAAAGGGGGAATCAAACTTAGGAACTCGGGTGCACAATAAATATCCTTAACCACTTGAGCTATAAGTCGCTTGCTAATTATATACATTTTAACCACAAGAATGAACAAATTTAACAATTCGAGGTTTCCAAACTTCCAGTATACATATAATTTCTTCCTCCCAAATGAGATTTGAATTTCTCCTGCAACATTTTTAGCACTAAACTTGTTCTAAACTTCCATAGTATCCATATAATTTCTTGGCTGAAGTTGTTTTGAAGTTGAGTGCTCTCTCCCTCCTTAAAAGGAGTCCACGTCAGGATAAAGTTTGACTTATGGAGTAAAAACAAAGATGAAATTATGGTAGATCTAATCTAAATTTAAAAATACAGTTGAGGGCTCAAGAAAGAAAGGGAACTTTTTATATTCTTCAAATCTACTCAAATCTGCACCCAAGAAAAATACAATAATTGTTGTCAACCAACTCAAGTCAGAAGCGAAGCACATGGCGGGCTGTCATCAATTAATTAAGAGCAGTATATCACATTGCATCATTACAGAACGACCTTGTGTAAATATTACAAAAGGCAAATGTCCATACTGAGCAAGCAAACGCCCATGCTGACTAAGCAAAATATATAAAATTTAGGTGCAGAGAACTCAAAAAATAGTGAGTATGGGTTGCCTTCTGTAACCACTGACAAGAAAAGTGAACATCATAATCATGCTAGTGCCGCAATCTCCAAAGCCATTATGATACTCAAACTTTAGAGAAATTTGTGACAAAGCCTTATCCGGGTATGTTTCACTTCACTGCTGCTGTCGCCTCTGTTAGCACTGCATGCAACTTCCTAGTTTCTGTCAACACACATTCGCTATCAAATATAGCAGATACAACTGCAACACCTTTCAGGTTTGGTACACCAATTTCCATCACCGGACGTGCATTTGAAACTTTGATCCCGCCAATTGCAACCACAGGTAACTTAGAAGCCAAACAAACAGTTTTCAGACCGTCCAAGCCAACAGTGAGATTGTTTGCCTTTGTATTAGTTGGATATACACCGCCACAACCAATGTAATCAGCGCCAGCAATCCATGCTTGCTCTGCTTGCTCTGGTGTCTTGCAAGAGACACCAATTATCTTTTCAGGTCCAAGGAGAGCACGTGCAGTATGTGCTGGCATGTCAGACTGGCCAATATGCACACCGTCAGCATCACAAGCAAGTGCAACATCAATACGATCATTTATTAGTAATGGAACTCCATGGGCACGGCAAATTTGGAGACATGACTTGGCTGCTTCGACAAAATCCCGTGTATCAATATCCTTTTCTCTGCAAAGTAAGTCAAAATCACCAAATGCAAAACTAAAAGCCACAAAATTTTTATGTCTCATAATCATAGTTTTGGACATGAACCCAAACAAAGGCTCATTGAGAAGGGTACGTTTCAATTTAGGTAGAGTAGGTGACCTAAGTGAGTTAGAATGAATCCGAAAAAAATATTTTGAAAAGAATATACAAAAATAACAGACATGAGAGGAACTGGATAACAGTTGATCACAGTTCCAAGTAGGCAATCCCAATGTGAAACAATAAACATACGATGCATATAGATTATATCTTTATAAAAAATACATACAAAGTCCTTTAAGTTATCAAGTTTTTTTATTAGACATTTCTTGATAAAAGCTGAACCAGCATCTGACTCTACAAAAGAACTACAAGGGCAGTAATACGTTCATCAGCTTCCAGAAATATAAAGGGCCCTGGGAGTTTAATTCATTATCTTTAATCTTAAAGCAACTTGAAATAAAAAAACATAATTAGCACTCCACAAGAGAAAGGCAATGATCACTTCAAATACATGAAAAATCAACATCATCTTTCTCTAGGACTAGTTATAGATGTACTAACACATACAAATGAAGCACCAATCACTAGCATGTAAGTCATCAGAGAGATAAAGTCTACAGTGTATAAAAATTCTGATGAGTAACCAACCTCAGTTGGACAATGGTGGCGCCTCCTTGTACAGCAGCTTTAACAGCATCTGAGATAGAATGACCCCACCTTCTATTCATACCTGAATCTGTAACAGCATACAAGAATAGGTCGCTAGGATTGAATCTGACTTGTCTACCAGAATTGTGAGCGTTACTCTTAAGCTTCATTAGGTGATCGAAGGGGCCCTGGGGACCATTTCCAATGAAAATCTCTTTGCTGTAATCCAAGGCAGTCTCAACAAAGCATTTAGCTACCTACCAAAATTAAGATAAAAAAGATAAAAGATTCTGGTGTTCCAACTGTTTTTGTATGTGTGTGTGTGTGATAGAGAGAGAGAGAGAGAGAGAGAGAGCATTAAGAACATGGCATTTTTTTTTAATAAGAAACACAAGAACATGATATGAGATCATGGGAAACATAAATTGCAACTCAACTAGCATCAAAACTTATGGCAATATCCTAAAGACCAACACGAAAAGAAAGCCTTGTGGAATGAAAGAGGAAGGAGGAGGGAAGAGAGATGGGACTCATAATTTGTAACTGACTACCTTGAGCGATCAAGAAAAATCCTCAGGGTCTGACAATGTATAATCTTCAGTCGAGTGAATTATGGTATTGGAGTGGACAGCATGCCTTATTACTATTAGTCAATAGTCATTATCCTCTACTCTGTACAACCGTACACAGCAAAAGTGGAATTCAAACTTCTATCTCGTCTTTGAACAAATTTTCCCCTCGTACTTGGAATCAGGCAAACTCATCTCAAGCAATGCAACTCTAAATAGAAAAAAGTCAACAATATTTTTATCAATGCTATATATGTATTTTTAAATGCCATACAACAGGAAGGCACTGCTTTTGGGTCTCAAAAAGCCACACCTGGGTTTCGATCCAACAGAAAGGGGAACAAATTTTCGCCTGTACTAACGTGCTAACCCCTTAATTATCTTTGGTTATTCTTGAGTATGACTATTTTGGGAATATGTACTACAAAGAAAGAAAGATAGTTTGTCGCAGACTCTCCCTGCATCCCTTAAAGTAAGGCACATATGTAGTACCTTAACAGCCTCGAGCATTGAAGCACCTTTAGCCAGCTCAGCTGCAATACATGAAGCCAAAGTGCAACCAGTACCATGTGTATTACGAGTTTTTATGCGTGAAGAACGCAGCTCATATAAGTGCTCACCTGCAATGATCATTCTAAGTATTGAGTATCCCATTTTCACTCATACATCAAGTAGATGAAGCAATAGTATTATCATTTCTGAAGTTTAGAGGCTTACCATCAAAGAAGATATCAACAGCATCCAATGAATCAGGCAGGTCTCCACCTTTGACAAGAACATTTCTGACAAGTAAAGAAGCAATTTGTTTTAACAAACTACTGTTTCAACACAAAGCAACTTAATGTTTATTTCAAATTTTTCCTACATTCAAACTGCATTAATTCCGTCCTAATGAAACTACACTAAGTAAAATAAGCCAAAAGAAAACAATGTAACTACACAATTCACAATAAAATAAATGTTCATAAACCCCATAATGGTAACTTGCAATAGATATGCCAATATTATCTTGCTGTAACCCTTCCTAAACCTAAATGAGAGAGCTTATGATATTGGGCTTCCTACCCCATTAACAGTCACTGTCTCCTCACTTTGTTCCACCCTACTGGAAAGACTAATTTCAATACTCTGATAAAAATTTACTGATTTAGTTAAGAAAAGATTTTAGAATAAGGTGACCGATAGGTTTACCTCAGTGGTGAGGTCCCTCCCCCTTCCCCCCCTTGGTCACCAGTTCAAATCCCAGGAAAAGTGCCCCC